TTTTGATTTTGAGGCGATGTATAACCTGGTCAGTTCTTCAGCACTGGACATTTGTGGCACTGGACTAACTAGGACTGAATACACATGATCACATATGACTTGGTTTATAAATGTACAGGTGCATGAATTGTGATAAAGACCAGAGTTGTTGATAGCACATTCAAAACCCTGACACATTTTAGTTTAAAATAATCATCACAATAAATTCATGTTTCTGGTTGTTTTAATTCTAGGCCAGACTTAGGTTGGTGTAAATCTATCACAAGCCTTTGAGAAGAAGAAAAAAAACCTGTACATTGGAACAGGAAATAAAAACACATTTATAAATACAATAGTGTATCTGTGTCCAATAACAAAAAGTCTAACATGCCGTAGTGAACAATTTGATGGAACACCATTAGAGGTCAACATTTGAGGAAAACCAAGGGGACACGTTTAACTTAATACTTGCATTGTTGATCCTCACAGTAGAATTTGTTCTTTCATGAACAGATTACTTTTATGAATAGCCCCAGTCTAAACCAAAATGATGGTCCATGGTCTGAATCAGTTAAAATCCATTAGAAAGAAACGCTGCATCAAACAAGGGTACACACACTTAGCATACCAATAAAAGCCACATGCCCCAGTATATAATACTTAAGGAAAGTAGGGTGCTTTCAAATGTCTGTTCTTAATTTCTAATATGGTCTGGTTCCCAGCCTGAGGACAAACAGACATTTTGGTCAAATCTGTGAGACCCATTTGAGCTTTGCACTTGTCTACTTCCCCACCTGGGCAACATATTAATAATAACAATAATAATACTGTATTTACAGACCGACCAGACCGCTGATGTGGCATAAACAGCCAAACCTAGGTCAGTCATGGCAGCACAGGATGGTTACGTCATCAAAACATGCAGGCTATTTGTTAACGTGCAAAAGAGTGCAATACCATTTTTACCTTAATTTTGTGTGGGGGGGTGGGGGCGGGGGAGAAGCAATGATTGAAAGGTATGTACAAAACACTAAACGCCCAGCACTTATCATCAGATGGAAAAAAATCTCCAGATGAACAAGGAAAAAGAAAGAGTTCAGACCTCTAGTTCTTGAGCCAGATTAGAGGGTTTTCATTAGTAGCGTCGTAGACATGCTTTAGCAGTGTAGTACGAATGCCTGTGGACATGTATTTAACAGTCTGAGTTTTGAAAACAGAAAAAGGGACGTAAGGCATAGTAATTTTGAAATTTCCATCACAATCCTCTTGCTACAAGAACAAAGTGTAACTCAGTTTGATTTCATTCAGTTTCTTGTCTGAAGATGCCCCTGGTCATGTTTCCAGCTCCACTGAGTGTGAACTTTTAAATGTCCAAGTGTGTTGTGGCTTGCATGTTTACTCGCAAAACCCTTCGCTTTTTTGCCCAAAGATGAGAGGAATAGCTCTACATTCAGAAGTTTGTCCTTGTATTCTGTAGTGTGGCCCACATTTTTAACACCTAATCCATCCTATAATAAAATCAACACAATTGCTTTACATTAGCCTTCTTAAAGACTTGGAAACAAACAATTTCCTACCCTTTCAACATTATGGGATGTGGTATTGCGGTCCCATGAAATAAAAATGAATATAAGAATGTTTTAATCCTACGTTTTTTTTGAGGGGGGGGGTTGTCATTGTAGCCAAACCTACAAATTACTTACATTTTTCTATTTTCTTTACATTTATCACTCGGCCAGCCAAATGATCCACTAGCATTAATTGAAATTCAAGTGATGTATTAGTTAACCCAAATGTGTCCATTTAAAATATCCTAATACCTCAATTAAACCTTTAACACCCCTTGCAAACAAGAATAAGTTATTACTAATAAATTTAGTTAACGAATCGCCTCTTCAGAAGCTGAAGATAGCTTGTTTGCTCCAATTATGGAAGCAATGCCAATCATGAAAGATCTGTTCCCTATCAAAAAGCCGGCATGCATTTTTCTCGATCCGAACCTCTTTACATTCAATGTTTCACAGATGGAAAGATGCATGAGACACTAAGAGGTTTCCAGGAGCTGGATGAAAAGAAAAGTCTGATTGCAGTGAGCAACATATCTCTCTGAGAAAATCCAGCAACACTGTGATGAAGCAAAAAAAAAAAAAAAAAAAAAGGATTCTGGAGGAGGCACAACTATGTTCCCAAATGCACGTGTAGGGCACTGATTAGAGTACATCCGGCTAGCTGTGAGACGACATGTCTGAAGAACTGCTGCTGTTGCTGTTAGTGGTCTGGGCCCTCTTAATATACAGATTTAGCAACTTCATCTGTGGAAATAAAAGCCAGAGGGTGAATTTGAATACAGCATATGCTAATACTCATACAGACCACTGACTTGTTTCGCAGATAAGAGCATGTATTTGCACTTTCTAGTTATGTTATCTTAGAAGGTCATGGTTAATGTTTACTTCTGCATTGTGTCTAAAAATGTGAATGTTTTCTCTTAAAGGCAATGTAGGTGATTTCACAAAATATGATGCAACAAATTGACCATTTCACAGAAAAAATACTCTACTACATTGTGTATCAATATCAGTATTTTAAGTAAAATGTCATTAGTATAAACTTTATTAAATTTAAGGCAATTAAGCACAAATATCATTAATGTAAAACAAAAACAAAAAATTTAATTTTCAGTAAAAAAAAGAAGAAGAATGGTTTAATTTAATAAAGATTTATTTCAATTAAAATGTTTACACACTATGGTAAGCTTTAATTGTACTAATTTTAGTTTATGCTGATTTAAATAAAAGAACAAAAACAACAAAAAACACTATTACAGCTATGAGAAAGGTAGAATTTGTGCTTAATTATCTTGACAAATATATTACAATGCAAGAATTCATAATGGTCTGATTTTTTATTTTTTGAGAAATGTGATTTTGGGGTGAAATATGACCTGAAAGAGTTGAATAATGAAATCCATCCCTTTAGTTTTTTGGTAACACTTTACAAGGTCGCAATTGTCATCATTAGTTGATGCATTAACTAACATGAACTAAGAACTAACAATATAATTGTACAGCATTTATTATCCTTTATGCTAGTTAATAAAAATTTTCATGTTCCTGTTAGTTCACACTGCATTAACTAATGCTAACAGATACAACTTTTGATCGTAATAATGTATTAGTAAATGCTGAACTTAACATTAACTAAGATTAATAGATGCTGTATACATATTGTACATGTTGACTAATGTAGTTAACTAATGTTAACAAATGAAACCTTACTGTACCAGTTTCTTTTATTTTTATGGACTGTGCTGTGAAAGCCAAGTGCAATGAAAGTAGACCAAATACAAAAAACTTGGACCAGCTAAAAGCAGAGGAGGGCACAAATAAATAGAGGACTGAGTGATAAGCAAGTTGAACAGGGTGAACCTTTTGGTGGACTTTGAGTTGGCGTGCACGTGAACATACCTTGCTGCCCGTGAGCAGGGCCAAGTGTGGCTTCAGCTCCTCACCAATCACAGAGTAGATGGCCACCAAACAGAACACGCTGGCCTTGCGAACACTACTCTCTGTGTTATCATAGCCCTGCAGACAGATAGATGGTTTTAGCATTAACATCCTCATACACACACACATCATCAAAAGTGCAAAAGTACAAAGGCATGTTGACTATGCTCCCAATCTTCCACTGGGGTGAACAAAAGTCAAATTAACAAATGGGCTACAAAACATAGTCACTGAACAGCTTTCTCTATCTCAATTCTCATTCTTCATTCTGGTACATGAAGTTTGGGTATATATGCAATGTTTGTAACTACTTGCCCAGACATTCTAAGATGTCTCTCTTACCATGATATAGTTGCAAAGTGACAGAAGTGGAGAGATTAATTTTTTACCATAAAATGCTGCTAATGTGCAATACTCACTTGTAGGAGGCCAGGGATGATATCTGGCAGCAGCTGATGCAGCGACTCCCTGGCAATGCGCTCAACCACTTTGCTCTGCATCTTAATAGCAGCTAGGTTGATGGGATAGTCTGCAGTCTGTACGATGGGACACAGCACTTTGATGCATTGCTCTGGGTGAATGGAGCTAGCCAACGTAGAGGCAGCCTCTTCAGCCGCCCTAACCACCTGCACATATAAGGTCAAGATGGCACTTGAGTGAGTTTGTGAAGTTTAACAGCCTGAGATCAAACATAAAACTGGTTGGGAAAAAATTGGCCACAGGCCAGTACTTCATTCATTTATTCATTTAGGTGTTGGATTTGTTGACTTGGGTCATCTCATTTTAGATGTGTTCAGGTGTTCAGTGTCCAGAGGCACAGGTGTTGGATTTAAAAAGGGATTAAAGAGACCAATCAGCTCATTTTACTCTCAATGAGACCAATACAAAGAAAAAAATCACCTGGCCAGCTTGATTTCTCAGAAACAGTGTGGTCACATGTGAGAGGTATTATGGTGACAATGGAGTTAGGTTTAAAAGAATATATTTCCATACTAGAATAAATTCATGTACCATAAAACTAGGTTTAATCTGATTGCATTACTACAATATTATCACAGACTGCCATTCAAAAGTAAAAGAAATTAAAATTGTATTCAGCAAAGATTAAAATGATCAAAAAGACAGTAAAGACATTTATAATGTCATTATAATACATTTATATTTCAAATAAATGCTGTTCTTTTGAATCCTTAAAAATATATTACAGTTTCCACAAAAATATTAAGCAGCACAACTTTTCAACATTTCCAGCTTATTAGATAGATTGTGGATCTGAAGGGTTGTGTGATACTGAAGACTAGCGCAATGATGGCTGAAAATGTAGCTTTGCCATCACAGGAATAAATTACATTTTATAATACATTAAAATAGAAAAAGTGTTATTTTAAATTGTAAAAACATTTCACAATATTACTTTTATTACTGTATTTTTGATTAAAAATAAATGCAGCCTTTTAAAACAAATATTAAAATACATTAATTTATAATTATAGTATAATAATTTATGGATTTTGTCTTCACCATCACACATTATTCAAATTCTAGTTTTTAATATAATCAAAATATTTGTGAAAACTGCTAAGAATTAAAATGACAGAATACCCAATACATTTCGCCCCTGCTATAAGGCACAAACAACCCAAAGCAGCAATGTGATACTTTATTCACAATTTTTTGCAGTATAATCATCACAATATTGTACTGCTTTAATATCAACTGGAGGTTAAAACAGATATTAGTTGTGAATATTTTAAGGCGGCGGATTCTAACCTCTTTATGAGAGTCCTTATGGGCTTCTAGTGTCTTCATGATTGTGAGTTCTGCATAGTTCTTGAAACGTGCTGGCTGGTTCCTCAGAATCTCCTTCAGAACCCGTAACGCCAGAGCACGGATAGTGTGCTTAATAATCAGACAGAATGCATGCTATCATTATTAACCACTACAGATACACACAGACACAAAAATCTAATTGATATATGAAAAACTTTAGGACTATATAGAACGTGTAAATTGAGGATGCAAGTTATATGATGCTTTAACTCACATCCTTGTCCCCGAGTGTCTCCAATAGCAGCAATAGGATTGTTTTGAAGTGTTCGTCCCACACAGCCAGGCTGTCCTCACGAGCAATCTTCAACAGCTCGATCAAAGCCCCCTTCCTCTCCTCCACTCGGTCATTGTGATTAGACAACTCCTTCAGTAAGTCTGCCACGAGATCTGTATGATTCAAAATGAATCAAGTCAGAGCTGAAGACAAGCTGCATAAAACAAGCTGTTGTTCTACTTTAATTGTACTGAAGCACTTCAGCTTTTTTTTTTTTTTTTGGCTCATCTGTTTTGAATATGATATTCTATATTATTGAATCTTATGAAAACTATCAAGTACATGCCTGGGTAATACTTCACCTCAAAAGCTGAAAAAAAAGTTCTTAAACTATAAAAAATAATTAAATATATTAAATATAACTAATAAAATATATATTTAATATACTAAATGTATTAAATATAAATAATAAAATAACTTTAAACTATTAAATTGTCAAGTATCTATACATTATGGCAGTACTTAAAATTCAGTATTTCTTTTATTTAGGATTTTGTAGTGGCATTTTGTTTAATTCATATTTATAGTAATACACTAAAAAAATACTAGATGACCGTAAATACAATTATCAATTAAATGAAATATGGAAACTGCAAAAAAAAAAAAAGACAACTTGGTTCTAATTTTTTTTGTAAGATTCAACCTTCTATGTCATTATTAGCCAGCAAAGTACAAAGTAATACTGTTTAGACATTAGTTTTTGTTAGTAGTAAGAAAGGTTTCAGCATTCACTTAGGTTAATCACACAGGTTAATCATATTTGCTTCCAAGTTATAATGAGTTACAACAATGTGTTTGCAAACAGTGAAGCTCTGTTAGTTGTAAACCAAATGAAGAAAAAAATATAACTGCATACTGACTTTAGCACTGTTTATTTATTACCAACGTTTCGGCCAAACAAGTGGCCTTTGTCAAGGTTTTTCTTCATTTAGTCTGCTCCTTTAACTTGCACCTCAAAAAGATGTGCGTTTGCTTTACTACTTTATTAGTTGTTAACCAAAACACATGTGAATCAACACTATCGTCCCATATAATTAGAACATACAGTCACCTACATGAATGACCCTATTGCCTTATATTATTGAAGGTGGCCTTTAGCAGTTATCACATGACACTGTTAGCAAAGCAATAGTGTCATTTAAGAAAGGTTGACATCACATCATATTGAGAAACTGAGATGGATGACACTGAAAGACAGGAGGTGGAAGGGTGGGAGTAAATGAAGAAAAGTGCAACAGTCTTGTTTAAGTGTGCAGGTCTTTACCAGGAGTAAAGCCCTTGGGCAGCACCATCTTGTTCTCACCACAGTCTTGCCGACGGCCTGTAGAAGGGGAGGGACAGGAGGGGTTGGGGAACAGCAGGGGAAATGATGACACACAAACTCCACTATCCTACGTGCTACACCTGCATCTCTGACACTTACGCTTACAGGGGGTTAATCACTTATTTATGTTTTGTTATGGTCTCTGGTCATCATGTTGCTCACACTGTCGAACAGCTTTAGAGTTGAAAGGTGTCATTTCTGCAGCAACAGTGTCTGCCCACTTTTGCAGCGATCTTGGTTAAAAAAAAAAACTTCAAAAAATATTATAAATTTTCTCTATATAATTTTTCATCAAGATATTTATTTACTGTTTCACCTTAAAAATATAAGTTGAAAGTGTAGGGATGATGAAAGAATGACTTTTTCAAGAAATATAATCAGGCATCTGTATTGAGTATCATGAGATCCAGTGCTCTATCTGTGGCCTAGTCGTCTAATTTTTAGTATTTATACTTAGATTATTAAGATTCAGAATTTCTTGCTATTCTTGTTTTTCCTTGTTACACAATCACAGTCAATGGGAGCAGTATGGAGTACAGATGACGTGGAAGTGAAGGTATGAGCTAAGAGCGGCGTATTGACTCACAGTCTCGAAACTGCTCCACGTCGTCATCAAAAATGGCCTCCTTCAGGGCGCTTTTGTCATAGGCCGTGATCGTGTCTCCATAGCCATAGGGTGCGAACTCCCTTGACCGCGGCACAGCGAAAGACCGCGGGGACGGTGTGTTAAGCAAAGATGTCTTGTTATCCAAAGCGGTTCGACCCCCTTCCATTACATCCAAACCCAGTCTTGCATCAGACCCCAGAGAGGACCCTTCCTTCCCAGCCTAAGACAGGAAGAGAGAAAGATTGTGCCAATTACGGCTGCATAATTTGTCCAAAAAAAAAAAATCAAATGTCAGCAAAAGCGAGTGAAAAAGAATCTAAATTACATGTTGCTCTCACCATACTCTCACAGTTATTTTTGGAATTCTAAATAAATAACTACGTAATAATAATAATAATAATAATGTATTATTATTTTTATTTTTTAAGTATTAAGTATTTTATTATTTTATGACCCCATTTGTGGGTTTTTGCTATTATTATTATTATTAACTATTTTATTTGTTATTTTAAAAAACCCATTTAATGACCCCTATTTGTGTGTTTTTTTGCTATTATTATTATTATTATTAAATAATAGCAAAAAAAAACAAATTGTGTTTTTTACTATTAATAATAATGCCCTTATTATTTTATTTAATAATTGCAACAACAACAAAAAACTACATACACACAAATTGGGGCCATTAAATTCCCCATCTGTGCACTTGTTCCTGCTTTCTACAATTAAAGCACTCACAGCATCATCCTTCTTCCCATCGCGTCTGATTGGCTCATTCAGGTCCTCTTGGCTGCGGTAACTGAAGCTCTGGATGGCTTCTGTGACACCGCGCAGCGAGCTAAAGATCTCATCAGAATTCATGTTCTCTGTGTCATACTCCAGCATACTGAAGGGAAAAATAATACAGGGAAAAGAGGGAAAAACACGTTGACGTTGGATGGACTGCAAACAACTCACATAAACAAGAAAGCCAAAGCATACAAAATATTTAAAAAATTTGAGTGGACAACTCCAACATGCACCTACGGGTAAATAAGTGGATGCTGCAAACATGGTGAGTCACTTAATTCCTGTGCAAAACCTATTTCACATGCATTAAAAATTCCTCCACATAGTATTGTTTCTTAGCTTTACATTTTAATCAACCACCATCCACAGGGGGAGGTCTGTATTTAGAATGATGTCAAACCGTGGCCGCTAATATTAGTGCATACAAGTGCCTGTTAGGCTGGGAGTGGGTGGGAATCTAAGCACCCATCCCGCCCCTCCTCATTGTGATAGGCTCACGGGTGAGTTACCTTGGTGAGAGCGCGCAGCGGAAGGCCCTGAGGGAGGGGCCGGCAGGAATAGAGGGGTGAGACGGAGGAGTAGGAGGAGGAGGAGGAGAGGGAGAAGGGTGCTTTAAGAGCCCATCGACACTCCAACCCCATAACCGACTGTGCCCACAGAACGGCCAGAGAGGGAGAGAACAGGGCAGAAGAGGAAGAGAGAGAAAAAAAGAGTGGTCCAGTCCGACTGTTGTGGTTAGCAGCATGGGTTAATAAGTTTAAGAGGACCAGAAACCCCTAAATCATCATCTATGTTGTTCTGCAGGCCTCTTTAAAAGAGTTTTAGACCCTTCATGAGAGGATGACTCACTAGGTGATATGGCTCCCACCCCAGAAATGCAGAAATTAATTTTAAGGGTTTCAGGTTATAAAGGGACATTTTGAAGAAAACAACACATCAAGTCCCAGTCAGATGTTTAGCACATGTTAGAGTCATAAAGCAGGGCAACAGGCTCTTGAAACTGCTGTAGAGGGTCTTCGTGCCAAGAGTGAGATCATACATTAGTGTGGTCAGCATATGGGAAGAGGATGTGTTACCTGGGTGACAGACCCCCGTGGGAGCAATTTGTGGGCGAGGTGAGAGGACTAGTCCTGCTGGTGGGGTGCCGGGGTGGCGTGCGGCCCATTGTATTGCTCGGTGAACTCTGTGAAGGAGATAAAGATGAAATTGTAAGCTAAATAATTTCAGGTTGGGCTATACAACAGATCAGCTACAAAACAATATTACTGGCAGATCGTTTTCACTGTCTTTAAAGATAAAGTCAAATATACTCAGTTTGCTTAAGCAGCCTGACAATTTCTGTCTCAGACAATAGTGTGGATTACTTGATTTACTTGAATGAAGATACAGACTCAATTTTCCAAGATTGTTTGGCAATTAGTTTGTTAATTATCAACTACTGAATCTGAATGGCATCATAAATTAATTCATAAATTCTTCTTTAGCTCAAATCAAGCAAAAAAATGTTCTAGAGTTTAAAAGAAATAGAAAAAAACAAGAAATGCCCCTTTCAAAAGGTAATTTTAACTAATTGCTCCAGTTGCCATATTGAGCATTTTTCCACTAATGGTCTTTCTCTTACCACCATAATATTGTGTATTGTGTATTTACAACATTTACAACAAAAAAATAACTAATACTGTACATGCACGCCATTCAAAAGTTTGGGGTCAGAAAGATTTTTTTTTAAAGAAATTAATACTTTTATTCAGTAAAGAAGTAGTGACACTACAGATATTTATTTAACATTACAATGCTTTTCTTTTAAAACTTCTATTAAAAGTTATTTTAAATTGTCGTAATATTTCACAATATTACTGTTATTACTGCTTGGTGACAATAAGAGACTTGAAAAAAATGTTTAGATTTTTTTTTTTTTAAACAAACCAAAAAAATCTTTTGAATGGTAGTATATGTTCAATCTTTTAATATAAAATCTCATCAGAGATGAAATTAGATCTTACCACACTGCTGGTGTTGCTTGAGTTCTTCAGATGGCTATGCAGGAGCTTGGTGGCTCCATCCTGGAAAGTTTTAGGCAGAGCACCCAGCAGCATGGTGAACTCAGGAGTGTTCAGCTCAAAGAGTGAGATCAGCACCACCTGGGCAGCCTGCACAACACAGCACACACTTCATGAGATACAGTACAACCACTAACAGCACAATGATCCAGAGTGCATTTATACATTCCGAGAAATGCCGGCGGTGATAACCCAGGATAGAAAGAGAGACTGTATAAAGACTGCAGTGCCACTATGAACAGAAGACCCTGGACCTGTCATGGCACCAACACACTAGAGTTTACATTGTGTCAGACATCCTTTGACATAGGACATTTATGAGAGCAGGTCCAGCTTGAGTTCACAAACAAATTCCTATTTGTCAAAAGCTCCATCAGAGTTTTCTCTATTGTGTAGGTGCCTTCAACATCAGGGATGGGAATCATAAGGGACGATTCTGGTTCCAATTCCTCTTAACATTCTTGTTCTAGTTTCTTAGTCATTATATTAAAAATTATTTAGTCAGGAAGAAAGCCTACAGTAGCATGTTGTCAAGTGTGATCATTTCAGATTTCAACAGATCAGCATACAATGAATAAACTGTCATTTAACATTTTATAAAATTGCATTACATAATTTTTGATGCATAATTCTGCTCGGATAAACAAAAAGACGACACCCAAAATATCACTGTTATCGTAATGACAACAGCAGTTTAGCACAGGCAAGATTCCCAACCCTGGTTAATTTGACTTGCATATTTTACTCAGTTTACACAGAGACCTCAAATGTCATCTCAATTCAGTTATGTTTAATGTTAAACACATGCAAGAAAATTGATTCACTCATTGTTAATCTGTGAAAAGAAACAAAAATATCTTAAGCAGTGGAGCATTACAGCAATTGAGATACGAAAGGAAACTTTAAAACACACTCAACTATTAATATAGTATTAAAAAAAGATCACTGCCCTGTTTAGACTTCTGGATAATTGCATGTTAACAGATTGTATTCAGCAGTCACTTCGCAAGGCAATGAGACAGATTAGAGTGAGGAGAGGGCACACAGTTAGGTGCAGCGGTTACGTGCTGGTTGTTGGTTAGGCCGTTGGATTGGCTCTACCTGCTTGCACCTCTCTTCCAGGTGACTCTCTCCAGGAGGTAGAGCTGTAGTGCTGGGCCTGCCTGACAACTCCTCACATGCCCAGTTATGAAGGGTCTGGGCCATCGTGTCAGGGCAAGACGGTAACAGACAATAAAAGAGAAACTGATGACCAATGGTTGCCTTTAGACAGCAACTGATATTGGGAAGAAATGGCCTGCATCTGTTCATTGTGATTCAATTATGTTCAACCTACATTTTTAAAACTAACAACCCAGTGACTGAGACAAAAAAGCTACACTATATACAGTATACAATAACAAATCCTTTCTGAGAATGATTCTTAAAGGGATAGTTTTCTGTCATCATTTACTCAACCTCATTGTCCAAACCTGCATTATCTCTTTCTTCAATCAAACACAAAAGGGTAATTTTTTAAATCAAATATGGCACCAGTCACAAGACATGTGAGAAACAATGATATTTAATGTTACTGACGTCAAACCCAATGCATCAAGTTTTACAGTCAATAACTTAACTCTATAAAGCCTACTGTATCATTTAGTTTTCTCTAAATTATCAACATGTTCAAATCTTTGCTGAAAAACCAATTGTACACAATCTGCTACATGTCTTTTGTAATCTGACTGGTAGTTCATACTTTTTTAATAGGTAGAAGGCCTTTAAATTTTACAAATATCCCTCTTCAGGTTGTGTGTCTATTTTGATGTGAAATCTTAACTGAATTCTGAAGTAAACGTATAAAGTACAGATACGATACAACAGATCTAATACGATACAACAACAAAAAATCACATATATTGCAAATATAATGCAAATATGTTTATTATATATTTTTTAATATTTTGCCTAAAGGTTCAATAAACTGTTCAATTAAAAAAAAATCTGGCTATTGCTGTATTTCTTATGTTAGGTTTGCGGGGTTAAATTTGGGTTTGTTTCTTACATAAAGCTATTGTATGGCTTCTGAAAACTTATTTTGCCAGGATATTCAAAATGTAAAAATGAAAGCTATTTGGAATGACATGAGAGTGAATAATAGTAAATGATGACAGAATTCACACAAAGAAATCTGTCAGAATCAACCTAGAAAAAAAACTTTTTAAATAAACATCTTCTATTTTGAGCACCATTACAGCATTGATTTGTGCTCTGTCTGTAAGCACATCTCCATGGAAACTCACTTTTCTAACGTCAGAGCTCTTGGGTTCAGTGGTCCAGGTGATAATGCGAGACACAGCTAATCTTGTTTCACTTGAGTTCACAAAGTCTGCAGGGTCCATCTGCCGTGCTAGGGACTCAATGTATTTCAGGATGGACACCTTCACCTGCATTATAACACCAAGATAATAAGAATTAACAGACTCGGCACACTGAATTTCGTAAGCAATCATAGTAGGCACCACCTTACCTTTAGATTGGGGGTTTGAGTCTGATCAACAATGAATCTCATTAGTATGTTAAACTGTTGGTCGAAGGGGAAAGACTCCCTAAGAAATGGGAAAAAAAGAAACAAGAAATCATCCGGGTGGCACAAAAAGCTCTAAGCATAAAAAAAAAAAAAACTAGGACTATCATTTAAGACCAACCTTGTGACATCCAGAGCCTTTTGGACCTTAGCTTGGACTGAGCCTAAGAGGTCAGCTCCCATTTTCTTCAGCAGCTGAGTGAGCAGTACAAAGAGCCAGTCCTGGAGATCCTCTCTGTGTACAGTGATGAAATCCACTAGAGTCTCCAGGAACATGCTAAACACCTGGAAGTAGAACATGAAACATCATGCAAATGCTGTGCTACACATCTTTTTATGAATGTACTAATGGCTTTATATGCCTGTTTCACAAATGTATTAGAAAAACATTTTTCTACATTCTCTGATAAAACTGCGAATGTGCTTGCCCATGCAAAAATTGCTGCAACAATGCCAGGTTTTTTGCCAGTTTATGGTCTGTAAGTCTGTTTATAAATCGGATCACTTATAATAATATAATAAAATAATAACAGTCAGCATTGGTTTGTTATATCAATCATGATGGTGTGGCACGAGTTTCATGATTCTGTTTAATATTTAGGGTTAGGGGTTTAAAACAACCAGTGTTGGTAGTTTTACTGTGATGTATATGAAGAATGAACCCATTTATGTAAGAATAGAACATAATCCATTTATATAACAAAATGGTTCAGGTATTTGTAATATCCACTTACTCTCTATTGTTAAAATCCACACCAAGGCAGACCATGCAAACAACAGGAAAAAACACATTCCATTAGTGCAATCTCATTCCATTTTTGAGTTCTACACAAACACACTGTTTGCCAGACAAACATTTTAAATTGAACAGAATCCATAGTGATGAAAGCTACTTATTCAGTCTATTATAACATGATTAATTTAGGATGATTTCACACGATGCAACACATTTTAAAGTAATCCTTCAATCCTTTATTTGGAATGCTACCATTAATCCAGTCATCGTAAATAGATTAAGTGTGATCAAAGCAGGCATGTGGAAAGGATGTATCCTCACACAGGTTACCTTGCTGTGAGGATCTGCAAACATCCTGGTGAAGATCTCACATAGCCGCTTGAGCTCCACACGGCTGAAACACACAAAAATATGATTAGAGGCCTGTTCATGATCAGAATAAGACTGAAAAAGCATAAAAAGCCATTGCAAGCCAACTGGGACTTTGCACATACATCATTTTAGAACAGCCTATAAAAATACACTACATGAGCAACAAATGAAAACTTGCCAGATACTGACTGACTACTTTCTACTTCCTGTCTTGGAGAAAAATGAAATGCCACCACACAACCAAGAGACCATTTGTGTTGCTCTAAACGGCCCCCCCACCTGAGAATGCGCTGACTCTTTAGCAGGTTCTGCAAACCCAGCAGGCCCTCCTTCCTCTCAGACCAGTTGGAACTGGCGCAGTGGTTTAGCACCTCAGCAACGTCCTCTGTCTGACGCAGGTAGTGAGGAATGCCTCCATTACGGGAACTATAGGAACGCTCTGAGCAGGCGCTGGATGCGTCGCTGTTGGCATCATCATCAGACTCGTACCTCCTTCTCAAAGGCTTGCGCTGAGGAAAGCATGGAGCACATTAGAAGGTTCAACGGAAAGTTGACAAAACTATCATAAGACCAACAAAGGGAGTTCATTCAACAATTTACATTGCATTACTCAAACATATACTAAGTATGCTGTTGATATGGAAAAGCCATGCAGCATTTAAAAATAACAAGGGTTTAGGTTCATTTAATACCAACTTTGGGACTCTGGCCAAGTACACACTGCAAAGTTTTAAGAGACAATCTTCTAAAATCTTCTAAAATATTGATTTCTGTGTGTACAGAATAATAGAAGGGTCACTCCTAACTTGTGATTGTTGACAAAGTGATCTTAACAATAGTTTGGAGATCAGAGATGTATTAAATTTTAATTTTAAATAAAACATTTTAATTCTGAACACATTTGAATGATTTGGTTGCACTTCCTGGATTTTTCGGCAGTGAATTTGGTTGTAAAATTCCAGTGTGTATGTGGCCTTGGAGCTCTTCAACTGTCTCAGCACTGGAGTGTGAAGAAACAACTCAGATATTTGCTGTGGCAGTCATGAATAATTCAAATCGGTCACAGACAATTTCCAGCATTTGGCAATGCATTAACAAACACTCGAGTCCCTGTCATTAGTACAGTGTGTGCATATGACGTAAGTGAAGAGCGCGGTATGCTGGGTAATTACATCTACTTATGTAGCAAAGGGAACGTGTCACGCTGATCCATAACACCTGCCCTGTTTACAACTTAATCCTGCTGTGTTGTCATATGTGAATTAATGATGATATACATTTTCCAAAGCAATAACACTGGGTGACATACAGATAATAAAATTAAGAGATTAATGATTAAATATCAAACTGATAGAAAAATTAATGAAATGCATCTTATGGAGATTGTACAGGAAATGATGGGACTGTGCAGAGGAGATGGTCATTGACCAAATTAATGAAAGCAGCGCAAATGGATGTGGTGCACAAAATGCTCTTGATATTTGCTTGACAGTCCACGATGGAATAAGTCATTCAGATTAGTGAATAAAAATGGAAATACAAGCAGTATATAAACAGAAGCACTACCTTATTCCTGGAGTCTCCTAACAGCTGAAGACAAGAGAGAGAGAGAGAGAGAGAGAGAGAGAGGAAGAGCAAAGAGATGCAGAGATTTCAGAGGGAGCAATGTTGTTGCAGAAAAGACATAATTTGAAAACTGCACCCTCATAATATAGCTAAGCAGTTGACACATAAGGACAAAAAAAGGGTTTTCCCCACATAAAATTATGAGACACTGTGAATGGTCACCATTTTACTTTACCTTTTTTATTTAAAAAGGAAATAAAAAAAAAGATTATTATTAACACTGTTTTTCACTAAATAAACAAGGAAAACACAAGGAAAATTTATATTTAATCATTTTTATTCATATGCACCATTATAATAATACAATAAACTGACAATGATGATTTTACATTAAATATTTAAATAAATATCTTAATTTCATATTTAATCTAAAATGTTTGTTTAATTCATTAATGTATTAATTGATGTAATACATTTTTCCATTATGCATTTTAATATTAATTCAAGTTTAATATTTTAATTTTAATTAAAACATTAATACTATAATAATTTTACAATTATTTATATATATATATATATATATATATATTATTATAATTTTTTCAAACAGAGTACATCAACTGCCAGAGAACTGCAAACTGCTGGAGAACCATGAAAATCCTTCCCAACATGTCTATACACAGTATACCCCATAATGAACACTTCTCATTTCCTAAAACATTATTTCTCTGTGGGTGTTTTTAGGGCCACACAAGACAAATAGTTTCAAACAGAAGCATCACTTCTGTTATCCTAGATCAGATAATGACAGTGAGGAATATTTCAGTTCATCATATTCATGTCTGTGAGATTCTTACCAAAGCATCAGCCACAGCAGCCTCCACTTCTGTGCCAGTATTGAGCACCCTCATAGCATTGACAGATGCAGAAATGCGAGCCTGATGGATCAGGCCAAAGCGATCTGTAGGGTTTGAACACAGGATGAGACAGTGAGAATGGACAATGATGATACTTACCTTCTACGACATCATTTCAAAGTCAGGTCATAAACATTTTTTCAACCAATTAGGCTAATTTCTCAAGAGAGACAAAAAAACGAAAGGGGCATTGTAGAGAATTGTAGAGACATGTAGACATTGAGAGAATCAAGACAGTCCGATACAGCCCAACAGATAACATGAGACAAGTTCAGATAGTACAGAAAAATAATTATGGTTGCGTAAAAAATTGAAGGTGAAAGTGTGTAATTTCAGAATTTCAAACATCCATCCACTATTAGTTTGCCAAGCAGATAGGCCTGTCCCAAACTGATACTATTAGTTGAGCAAATGTTAACATGTTTGCCCTATTCATTCCATTTCAACAAAATAACTGAAATTCTGTTTAGTGGCACTAGAAATGACACATTTCACCTTTAAAGCCACAATGATCAAAAGTAAGATGATTAAAAACATTTATAAAAATAAACCATACAGCTTCAATAAAGTAGCTTCTTGGAAAATCAAGTGCCAAATGTGTGTGAATTATGGGTCCCACAAAACAAAGGATTAAATTCAAACATTCCAAAAAAATTAACTGAACTACTTTGATGCTCACAGCACAAAAAGCCAAAAATTCGTTATCAGCAACAACACCAATGCAAAGTTTTTAGTTTTTTTTAAATAAATGGATATGGCAAGAATACAAAACCTTATATATGAAGCAGGCAAGTGAAGTGATTTTTGGCAAACACACCACCAACCGAACGGAAATGCAAATCAAAACAACCTCAACTAGGAGGGATGCTGATGTTTATGGTGAGAAAAGAGAGCAAAGACGCTGGAAATATAGTTTCACAAATGAACAGATAATTCGCATCTACATCTAACAATGACGTGAAGTGTGAAGGTTGTAGCTTGACCTGGCAAACCCAGTCGAATTCGCCTTTTAAAAAAAATAAAATAATTGCTGTGATTGGCCCTGTCTGGGGGTGGGGGGGTGGGGAGGGGAGGGGTCATGAAGGTCACCTGACTGGCCCACGTGTTCGGCCGTGGACAGCGCGCTGGTGGAGCGAGAGTGACGTCGGGAGGCTGCAAGGGGACAGGAAGAGGGGTGACACCCCAGGGATGGTTAGTGCCACACTAAAACACTGAGCACCATCCGTGGCAGTAATACAAAACATTCAACATGCCATACTTAACTAGTCACTACACGAGTGTTTCACATGAGTGTGAAACAGACCATAGATTTATCCATCTCCCTGCTATAACATAGACGACATTCACATATGCTGGTAGCAGATTAGCAATGAATACGCAATGCAATGTGCTCTGCATTGCAATCAGTGTTATTTTAGCATTATTAGCATTTATTAATATTAGAATGAGCTTTTATTTTATTATTCAAATGTTTATTTTAAATTTTTGTGTTTAATTTAAATTTTATATTTCTATTTCGCTTTAATTTATTTTTATTTCTATTTTAGTTTGAGTAATTTCAGTAATTCAACAAACTTATTATAATTCAGTTAGTTGTAAAGGCAACGTTTCTAATTTTATGTTTTTCATCTGATATGTAATTTTCACATTTATTTCAATTAACACTAACTATTTTTAATATTTTAAGTTAACAATAACAACACTGATTGCAATACTTTGCTGTCATTGTTCCTCCCTGCAAATTATTTTAAAGATCAGACCAGCTGTTTTTATTCACAATTTAATACGAAACGCCATAAATCCATTTTTATGGAAAAACCAACAAAACCTCCACTAGATTTATTTACAACCTCAAAGACATAGCGCCACAGATTAATAAAGCACCTCAAGAATATATTAGTGCATGCATAGAGGCAAGCAAACAACAGTTCATATCCCACGTATTAGGAATAATGGCCATAAATTAAGGCCAAACAGAATCAGAAGGAGAAGTTTGTGATAGCGAATTGGAAAGGATTGGTTGTTTTTGTTGTCTGGACTCCATCAGCCACTTTTGTGCTTTACTCACCAAGAGGAGTGAAGCCCCGAGTGGGGCTTGTGTCACGGCTGCTCTCGCGACTGGTGTCACGGCTGCACCCCTGACTCATGCTGGGGCGGGGGATGCGACTGCTCCGGGCTAGCGTGCGATAGGAAGAAGTGGCAGGAAGAAGAGCTTTACCACACAGCCTGGCTGTTAGAACACAATTTAGGGCATTAGTGAGGCCGTGGAGTCAGAGAAAGAGGGGGGAGGGTGGGGTTGGGTTGGCCATTCGTGGTGTCCTTCTGCTTTAGAAAGGTTAAACATTTAAAGCACAAGGCTTAATCTGAACATTTTGAATTAGACCGACAACATTTAGGAGGTTTCTGAACATGCAGTGTTAAAGGTAACCAAGTAATTTTGCATATCGTTAGTTTTTATTTGTTTTCTCAAACAGATTAAACGACCAAAGCCTTACACTTTATACTGACACCTATAAATTATATTAAAATGATTACACTGTGACACTGAAGACTGAAGTAATGGCTGCTGAAAATTCAGCTTTGCTAATACAGGAATAAATTACATTTTAAAATATATTCAAATAGAAAACAGTTATTTTAAATTGTAATAATATTTCACAATATTACTAGATTATTGATCAATTAAATGCAGCCTTGGTGAGCATAAGACACTTTCAAAAACATAAAAAAAAACCTTACCAACCCTAAACTTTTGAATGGTAATGTATTATCAGTAAAAATAAGATGTCATTCTATTTTGACAATAAATCAGTTTTCTTGCTGCTATAAATTCACATTTGGAGTTTGTATATATAAATTGTAGCAGTCCATTATGCATCATGTCATGTAAAAGAGGAATGATTATAAATGCACGAATCAAGCGCTCATGAATCAACACTGACAATTTCTGACACAGTTTTCCAAAAAATTATATTCCTGCATGCAGTCTCTGACAGGTGATAGGTGAGCTGCGATGTCTTCATTTCGATTAGTAGTTGTTGTATCGCATCACTGTTCGTTTGCATTAAATTAAAATTTTATGTTATGTGACTAAAAAAATATTGATAATGGCCACTGCGACTCATTACTTCCTGGCACTTTGTCACTGCTAATAGTTGTCAGTGTGAACACTGCTTCAAAAAAACTTGGACTGGAATTTTCATCTCAGCATGTATAATAATGAAGCAATATTAACTTTTTGGTGTAAAACTTTTTGCTTGGTGCCCCTTTAAATAAAAACACACACAAATGACTGGATTAAGCTTTAAAGCATTAATATAAAATTGTGAGTCATTTCGAAAATTAGATATAATCAGTTTTGTATATCCAAATGGTTTTGTGCTTCTTGTTTTACCGACAACTTACTGTCAAATTAATAATTGTTATATAATTGGCTGGACATTTATTGGTCAGATCTTTAAAAAGGCAGGACATACAGAAACTTTTTTCAGAAAAGGCTGACACACACAATGACCTCAAAAAAGCCAGAACAGCTCATGAAGAACGAAAGCCGTTAGTCAGCCCTGTCATCATTCAACAATGTATCAATTACATTCAAAACACAGCAATGAGAAGTCACTGAGTCAGTTTTGGCATAAACACTTGCGTCAGCCATTTAAATGAATGCTGAGCTTCTTTCACACAGTGAAAAGACATTCCGTCTATCTGCAGTAGATTAATCTAATAGGATTTGCAGTGAACAATGATTCAGAAAATGAAAGTTAAGAGTCTTCTTTCTTTCACTAGTAAAGCTCTGAAAACTCCTGCCATCCATGGTTACCATGAGTTCCTACCTTTTCCAACAAAATGTAGCAAATAATCTCCATGTTGTAATGCATATTCTTAAGGGATTCCTCAAGAAACTGGTTTAGGTTCACTTGAGTTTCACAATAAATTTATTTTATGTATGCCGATGATATGTCTACTGTATGTGGCCATCCTTTGTGTTAAACTGTGAGATGTATAAATGTGTTGCCCGTACCTATGCCCAATCTGCTGGGGCTGGTTTCACGGCTGCATCCCTGGCTTCTTGGGATCCTCGAGTATTTGTCTGAGGGTGTTGATGGTGCAGTGGCCCTTGGAATTCTGCCATATGCGTGTCCCAAGAGCTTCCCTGGAGAACTGGACCGGCTGCCGGCTGCAAAGGGAAATAATATCAGCACTACTATAAGTAACATGGTGACTGATTATTTAGCAACTACCATTGGGTCCCCTCAGTTTAGTATCAAATTGTCATTAAAAAAAATTAATAAAATGAGGCACCTTTTTTATAAGACACCTATTATTTTGATTACATTACTTGATGAATTAATGTTACCATGATTGCTAGAAAATGTACACTATCATTCAAAATTTGGGTTGAGTAAGATTTTTTATTTTTTTTAATAAAGTGAATATTGAATCAGCAAGGATGGATTAAATTGATCAAAAGTAAGAAAAAAAGATATAATGTTACAGATTGTTTTGATTTTAACTAAAAGCTGTTCTTTTGAACTCTATTCATCAAAGAGACCTGAAATTGTTTTTAAAATAAAAAAATTAAAAAATCTATTATGAAGGATCACGTGACCCTGAAGAATGGAGGAATAGCTGCTGAAAATTCAGTATTATATTAAATAATATTTGCTTAACAATGGTGGGAAAACTAAAACTGAGCATTTATTTCAGTGTGGTCTATAAGCTTTCCTTTTTTCACATGGCCCGAATGAAAAGAAAAATCTCAGGTTTAGGTGAACGAAACCACCACAAAGAAAAATGAGATGTGTATGCAAATATATGGAGACGAGACCTCAGCTCTGAAGAAATACATACAAACACAGAAAAAGACAAACTGGGTGAGCTTGGATCCAAGGTCTATTCGAGCTGCAGGGAAAACAGTAATATCTACAGGCATTGGTGATGTGACAATACAAGCTACAGACACATTTAAAAACGCATACAGACAGACATCAAAGCAAAAACAAATACTCAACTATCATAATGTCTGATCTCTATTTGAACAGAAATAAAAAGATCAAGCTAAAGAAGGACATGCAACATGATGGTAGACGAGTCATTCATGCAGGGTTCATATTGAGGGTATTAACGCAGCTTTATTCTGATGAACGGGGGGGCTTACCACTAGTGGGGTTAGCTGATCTGGATCCTTGTGTATGGAAGCGAGGCAATGGGCAGGTGAAAAGTAGCCAGTTATAAAAGACGCTTGATGTGACGCATGGTTACCCAGGATGCATCAGGCAAGATGTTGTTTATTCGTGCTCTAGAAACTTAAATCTACACATTTAATTCCAAAGATTGGCTTTAACTATAATTGTGGAATAAACTCCATGTTCAGCAGGATGCCAAACTGGGTTGTGAAAACATTAAATACAAAGGCGACAGAGACAAAAAAGAAGATGATAGTGGTGGCAGACCAATAGTTATCTATCTGTATCTGAACTCCTAACATTAAGGTTGAAGCTTCAATCTATAGGGACCATAGGAAGGTGAATTTCATGAAAACATGTCTAGTTACCATTTCCCCCCCCCCCCCCAAAAAAGAATAATATAAATATATTTTAAAAAGAATATAT